TGCTGAACAACGTGTTAAAAGCCAACTTTATGTTCAGCAATAATTTTGCTATTACACTCGACCACAAATAATTCTTTGGTTCGTTGTTCCCTCGCCAAAGCATCCCTTAGCTCTAGACCCTTTGACCGTTCAGCCTCCCAAGCAGCCATAGCCTCGTCTTCGGTAGCATGCATTCTTTCCTCTACGATTTTGTAGTGTTCTTGCATCTGTGTTAACTTGGCCTCAAAAACCTTATTGGTGTCGGCCAAGTTAGACCAAATACCCTCAACCTCTTCCAAAGCTTTTTGGGATGCAGCAAATTGACTCTGGACCTTTTTCAGTTGAATAAGAGGTTCTAGAGCTAAGCTATGAGCCATTATCATGACTCGAGTCTAGAGCTCACAATACCACTCCCACCGAGCCCTGTTATCTTGCTAATTGACGACTGCCCTTCCCAATCGAAAAGAAGGTCATGGGACACTAGCTTTGAGGCTTTAACCCCCTTGGAAAAAAAAATTGTTGGTCATCACCACAGGATGAAAAATAGACTGATCCAAGTGGCTAGGTGACTTAGAAGAAACACGATGAAAAGATTCAGTACGAGAATGTTTTTTATGATGTTCCTTCTCAGCTTCTTTTCCTTTGCCCTTGTCTTTTTTTTTTTTATGGCCTTTGGCAGAGAAATATCTTCAGGAGGAGGGCAAGCTTCAGTGATTTCAGGAACTACGTCCAACTGAGGACGCCGATGTTCCTCAACCAAAGTGCCTTTAGGTGCTCGTTTCTTCAGCACTTGGCGATAGCCTACACCAAGCCCTCTCTATGCCATTATGCCTACAAGAAAAATAAGAAGTCAAATCAATATAATCCGGTTCTCAAATTAGAAAATAAAATGACAAAGCATACCCTCCAAACCTAAGCAGGGCTTGGGAGACTTCGGCAAAAGTATCAAAGCTTGGGCAGGAAGTTCCCGAGAGAGGGATTTTAAGTATTCCAAGGAAAAAAGCTCCTCCGACGACAACATTTCTTTTGAATATACATCATACCGACGAGGTACCCTGGTCGAGTATAGGAAAGAGTGCCTTGCCTTCATTATCATAAAAAAACTTCTTCCCAATAATAGGGTTAACTGCTACCTTAAAGAAACTGATTTTGAATCCATTAAATGAAGAAGTGTACAGCTTCAACATCAGCAACTTGGCCTGTCTTATTAAAGAAACCACCTCGCCTTATCCGAAAGCTGGATACAAAAGAAATGAAGAAAAAGACCTATACTAGATTTTATATAATGATATTTAAAAAGAATCCGGAAGGCTTGCATAGCCGCCCACCCATTCGAGTACAACTGGGTCGATGCCATGTTTAGCACCCATAGCACTCCCATTTGAAAATCGTCAAATGGAAGCATTACTCCTAGTTCTTGGAACATACACTCATACACAAAGAAGATGCCGGCTAGCCCGACATCTTCACCTAAAAATACAAGATCTGGATTTACCGACCCATCTTCTTGGCATATCTTGACACGTATTGGATAAGGGTCTAGGTCATCCCATAAAGCCACTTTGTACATATCCATAAAGCCACTTTGGTCTTTCACGAACTGGACTAGCATTAGGACGCAACTTTTTAGATCCAGATTCTGCCATTTCTTCGGTAATAGGCATTTCTGCCTGATCACCTATGTCCCTTACTATACTAGTCGGTTCAATAAACCCAACAACATTAGGAATCATTTGAACTTCTTGTGCCCCTTTAGACATAACCATGGTCACAGACTCTTCTATCATCAAAGCAGTACTCGGTGCTGAATCCTCCGACAACGAATCGTCCTATTCAATAGCATTCACCATTTTGAACCAAAGGGAAACTACTAAAAAGAAACAAGCTAAAGTGAGACATACCTTGGATTACGCAGATAAAGGATATTCGAGTAGAGAATAGTATACCCTTCGATGTAGAGCAAAAGTAAGAATAGTGCCTGGACCACCTCTTTCTTCTAGACCTTGAGGCTTCGGGGAGTTGAAGGGTTGCTCCTCTTCGCAACCGTTAGATTCTTTCAGAACAAACGATTACTAACGAATGACCTTTCATTTCAGATTGAGAACCCCAAGGAAACCCTAATTTCTCTAACACCCTAACACCTAGTAATGACTAATCTACTTTTAGGGTGGAAAGGAGCAAGTCCAAATGAGTCATTTCTAAAACATTAACCGAACTCCCCCAAGGCTAAATACGGGTCAATATAACATAACCCTTCGGTCATACTTCCTCAGACTTGGGGGTTAGTGTACTGGATAAGACACTACTCAGCCATCACGACAGAAAAAGAAATTTGAATACCTTTTCGGTCTAAAGGACAGATATCCCTCCAGTTAGATTAAAATAAATTAATAAAGATGATTAAAGAAACTAAAATAGATAATCATTAATTATCTATTTAATTAGAAAGCTAAAGTCAAAAGGCTGAGACATAATGCCCATTTAGCCCTATATTGCCTATAAAAGGAAAGGAAGAGGTACAAGTAAAAGGGTTAACTTATGAAAAGTAAATAACATTTATTACCTAAACTGACATCTGACTTTATCATCAGAGTACCTTTTGCAGGTACCCTCCCCACGTCATATAAAAGAAGAATCTGAAATATCTGTGAAGACGTCACGCTATAAGATAGAAGAAGGGATCATTGAAGTATTGTATCCTCAGCAGGAACAACCAGGTTTATTGTAAAAGAATGATCAACTTATACTATTGGCTTTATACATTCTGCATTGTGTTTGCATTCAACTTTCTATGATCTTGAGAAATTCTTCCACTAGTAAAAGTGTGTGGACTGTTATTCTTTCTGATTTTAAAAAAATACTCGTTCTTCCTGAAAGTAGCTCAAAGAAGTCATTTACAATCTATGTCATACCTTACACTTTTGCAATATAATGCATTTAGTTATAACTTGAACATTTTGTAGTTCACTCATTTTGATATATTGTAATACTTTATTGTGTGTATAATAGTTTCTTTGCCATTAATAACTTATTACTGTCAAAATAGTTATTTCCTTTAAAAAATTGTTAATGATGTCTTTTTATTATTTTTATTTTGTTCTTATAAATCTCGCTATTAACGATTTTAAGAGAAAGAATTATTTTATACATTTAAAATCATTAATAGCAAGTTTTAACCATAATTAATTACTTGAAAATTAAAATTGTCATTGATTTTTTTTAAAAAAACTCATATTTACGTAATTTTATTAAAATAAGTCAAATTTTGGTGAATTTAAAATAAAAAAATTATAATAAAAAAAGCCTTATTTTACTCTTTGATATATTTAAGATTTTTGTCAAAACGTAATGTTAAAGTAACATTGCTTATGTAATCCCCATAGGGTCCATTTTCGTTTCTAAGGTCATTAAATACTCCTGACTGGAAAAGGTCATTAAATAAAAGTGATTGCAAATAGTATATCATACATATTTTATTATGGAAAATGGATAATCGAATGTGAACTTAGACCAAACATGATTTTGCTTTACCAGGAGTAAGAGCTACCTACTCTAAAGCTAATACGACAGTAAAGCGATTGATTTGTTGATGGTGATCCACTCTCCGTATTATGTCTCAAACACTCAAACTCTCTCAGTAACTTATTTGATTTGATTTGATTTGTTGGCTTTTTATAAACGTACTGGTACATAGATATTTATAGACGCACTATCTCGTGATATAATGGACTAAAACACATTCATTGAAAACCTTTTAGATATTATAAAATCCTTCCAATACAATTTTTTACTTTATTTTCTTAATCAATATTTTCAAAAAAGTCATTAACCAAAAACGTGAATATTTTATACATCAAGTTCATTTAAAATTTTCAATTTGCAACATTAATTCTATCATAAAACTAAATTTCACTGCAGCAATATTAATATTAGTTTATTCATCCTTCATCATGTCATAAATACGAGCATTAGTTACGATAGACAGAACAAATTTAGTTTTTTTTTAAATATTTAATTAAATAAAAAAATATTTTCTCACACTAAAATAAGTTTAAAACTCTTACATTGAATTTAAGTCTTTTATTTAACTTATATTTAATATAAGTGAAATAAATTATAACCCATTAATATAAGTTAGATGAAAGACTCAAATTGAGTGTAAGTATTTTTACACTTACACTAGTGTAAGAAGATCATATCTTTAATTAAATAGTCAGTCTTGAGTTTTTAAAAAAAAACTTGTTAGATTTGAAGTATTAATTTATTTAAGATTTACTAATTTTAAAATAATATATGAATAATTTTTATATATAATATATTCGTAATATTATATTAAATAAATTATTTAAATCTATTTAAATAATTTAATAGCTTATTTATAAAGAGATTTTATGATCTATCAAAAGCTTTAATTTAAAATAACTAATTAAAAAAATTAATAAGTCAAGTTAAACTCTTAAAAATATCATGTTAAGCTTAATCATAAAGTAGATTTATAATTCAAAATAATTAAATAAATTATCTACTTCTACAAAGTTTAAACATTTCCACTTCTAGGATGGATAAAATTTCTCCAACTGCAAAAGTCATGGCATGAAATGAATGAGTCCTTAAATTTTCCTCTGGTGCTTAGTCTTTATTTGAGTACAATGAACTTCAACAAAGAGATTTTCTAATTCTGAAATTGAGGCTTTTGATGATGAAGTTACATTGAGGTAATCCTGTTAGTGTGGACAAGTTAGCAGTACTAAATTAGCACTTGATTTAATTTTTTCATAAAAGTAAAAAGTGAGCACTAGCAGTGACGCAGAAAGATTGCGGTAAGATGTTTGGACCCATGCACATACATGGAGACAACTGGGCTTAGCACGGTTGGCGTGAGACTATACCTTAGTGGAGGGTCATGGGCTAGTCCCATCATTTCAATAAAGATAGAATATGTACCCCTTGCCACTATCATTATAATCTTATATATGCATCACAGTGCTTATTCCACACTATTCCCCTTCTCATTTATCATCAACAGAAACAACTAATTTTAATATTTTATCATATAAAATACACATCTTTCTGCTTCTTTTCCCCAGTTTCAACAGCAATTTTTTCTTGCCAAAATAAAGAAACTAACCAAAGAAACGAAAATCTCTCATAATAGCAACCCACCAACATATGATCTTGGTAAGTAGTGCATGCTCGGTCAACTGAAGCTAGCTATTGTCTATTTAGATTGTATATATATTCTTTTAAAGCTTTAACAATTAACTTAACTACATACCTATTATTATGCAACACGACACAACTACTCTAGAAGTTTTCATTTTACATATTTGTACACAAATTGTAGGATATTGGTGTGGCAAGAGGTTTATGCATGTTAGGAGACACAAGATCATGAGTGTTCCACAAACTGCAACTAGCCCTCCTCCACATCTGTATCCACAAGAACTTCAGCTTAAGCTTTACCAGGCCTTCATATTCTCAATTCCCATACTCTTTTCCATCATTCTCTTTCTCCTCTTTTACTTGTTCTACCTCAAGAGAAGGGCTTCCTCTCTCTCTTCCTCTTCCCCTCACTTACTTCCCAGGAGTATTGCCAACCCATCAACCACCACTCCCTATCATTCCTCAGTAAGTAACACTCTCTTTTCTTATTTAGATGCTTTCTGCACTGCACTATAAATTCTATATTATTATAATCATTTATTCAATTCAATGATCTAATATAGTGATATTAGCTTCTCTTTTGGAAATTCCACAGCCTTGTCATTTGGATCTGACACTCCAATTCCTGGATAAACTTCCAAGAATTTTGTTCGATGAGAATTTGCTAGCAAGGGATTCACTGTAAGTCAATTCTTTTTTTCTTTTTTTCTTTTGTTTATATAATTTTATTGACTTTGCCTAATGAGATCAGATTATTGTTATTTGTTTGTATAGTTTCTCTGAAATAGGCTTTCACCTGTACTGTGGTTAGTATTTGGTTTCTTTTTCAATTCTGTTTTTTTCCTCTCTCTCTCTCTCTCTCTCTCTCTCTCGGTCATGAACTTAATGTGCCTTGGTCTTTATCCATTATGCATGGTGCTCTACAGTATGCAATTTGGATGTATATTGTTTCGTATGGTAATTTCACCTCTTGGCATGTCTCTGATGATTAAAATCATTGTCAAAGAATGTTGATCTTGGAAAGCTTAAAGAATAGGTAGTTCAATTAACAAATTATTTAGAATATTTAATAGCAGCCACTATTTTCATGAAAAGTGGTATATGAAAAGAAAGTAAAAGAGATAAGTAGAATATTCGAAAAAAAAGGTTTTTCCTATTTTGTTTTTGTTAACACCAGAGAAAACAACTTGGTACATATGAAGGTGTCTTCTCTGCTAGCTAGAATTAATAAATAAATAAATATTAGACAAATTCTGCACGTGTAACCCAATTGGATGGTAAGAACCAAAATCTCAGCGATAGGTACTGGTCATATTTATTGTAAGGGAATTTTCAGTAGACAAAGTGCTGGATAGCACTTTGGAAGCTCTATCTTGTATTCCATTTGCTACTGGTCCCCTCCTTTTCCATGTCCCAGTTTTCAATCTATGACTTCAATTGATTTGATTGAATATAATATAGTGATATGTGTCCATCAACATTATTTAAAAAATGCCTTTATTGGGCTAAAATCTAAATAAAGCTGTGACTAAGATGAAGCTAATTAATAGCTATGTTGGTGACAATTTTGAAACAGATGTTGTGTGTGTCTGGGGGAGTTTGAGCTGAAAGAAGAGGTGCTACAGATTCCTTATTGCAAGCATGTGTTCCACATTGATTGCATACATCACTGGCTTCAATCAAACTCCACTTGTCCACTTTGTAGATGTTCCATCATCCCCACTACCAAGTTCCTCAATCCAACACCGCCTATTAATATTATATCAGACCCACCTCACCATGGTGCTATCATTTCGGAGTCTCCATTACCATTACCATTACCACCTCAACCAGAACACCATCAAGTTAGTGCTTCCTCAAATACTGCTATTTTGTCAAGGGAATGATACAATAGTTTCATTACTATAATAATGGCCATTAATTTGAAAGGAGGGGGTATTCAACTACACCAAGATAATGTAGTTGGCTACATTTAAGGAGCAAAACCAACAATTTGTGAAATAAAATTTTACCCTTCTATTTGTACATTATTTGGTATATTTTGTGAAATGTGAAACACAGCTTCTGCTGTCATGACCTTTTTGGATTGCTTATTTAACCTGCATAACCAATTACACTAGCTTTACTCCATGACATATTCATGTATGATTGATTTTGCCTTTTGTGGACTTCAGTCCTTTCATTTATCGTTTTCGTGCTTAAAAAATGATTGGTTAAAAAGGATAGCAGACGTTTGTCTTGTCACTTTACTGAATCCTAGGTAACGATGATGAACATAAATAAAATGTTCCTGCAAAAGTCCTTGAGCTCCGAACCTTTATCTGTGAAGGGAAAAAGCTTGTGTGCAAAGAATCTCTGTTGTAGTACTTAGTGCAAATGAAAATCATGCAAGTCTTGGAAAGGCATCACTCAGTCAAAGATTTTCCAGGAAATTTAATTACCACGGCTTTTGGAACAAATTATCAACTCCGTCCAAATAGGTCCCAGCAAAAGTGAAAAGCTTAAACTTTCGGGTACAGAAAAAGAAAAGGTAAAAAGGGTGTCCCCATAGAGTAATTATAAACATTCACTCACACTCTCCTTATAAATAGTAGTCTTGGGTTAACCCATTAAATAATATTCAATGTTACTATAACTACATAGTGATTGAGCCCACATCTCTTCCTTTATGATAAAAAGGGAAAAAAATTATAATTGTCATTTAATTAATTAAAACTCAATAATGTTACTGTATTGTATGTAATTGTTTTTATATCTTATTTATTTTTATCATATATATATATATATATATATAATATAATTAAGAGTCAATTATTTAAAAAATAAAAACATTAGTAAAGTTAGTTTCCTTCTTAATTTGTTACATTTATATTTTAATATTAATATTAACTAAAAATAACGTATAAATTACACTCTTTTTTATTGAAATAATTTTTTTTACACGCGTTAATTCTGTTCTAAATTTTAAAAATTAAAGTTGATATTTAACTAAATTTTATATTTTTCATGAATACTATTTTTATATTTATTAAAATTATTTTAATTCTTTTTTATTTTTTGGATTTAGAATGTACTTTAAAGACTTTCAGGGCTGAAATTTATAGTTATTAATGTATGTAAATTTTAACATTTGATTTAAATAAAAATATTTAATTTTATTAAATCATTATCATTGTGATAATATTATTCATAATCTTAAAGTTAAGTCAATAGAATTTTTTTTAAAATTTATTGTTTGAAATAGTTTTATTAGAGAATTATTTATTAAAATATAATTGTTTTCTTTAATTATTATAAAATATAATAAATATGAATTACACATATTACTAAACCAGTTTATATTAAAAATACACTATAAGAAGGTAAAAACAAATAAAACTTATCTCTTTCCCTAAAGTTGTTGGGAAAAATATTTTCCTCAAGTGGGTTTTTGAACTTTCTTTGCCCAACTAAAAAAGCATGGTGGCCATGGTTGTCAGTCACCTAATGTTCTGGGGATCCCTAAGCTCATAAATGATTCCATTTGCAAGCATGAAGCACTGTGTGAATCAAATGTTGTGGTCAGTGAGATAAACCCTAATTTCAGCTAATCGATGCTGCAAACATATGCAATCCAAATGCGCCGCTGGTTTGCAAGGAACAAAATGGGTGTGAAAATTGGTCACTTTGGTCTTCAAAATATGATATTGCTCCCAATATAAATAATTGCTTCAGATTCAAAATTTTCAATCTATCATCTATTCAAGCGTGAATCTTTAGTGAGCTTGACCCTACACTACTTATTGTTCCACATAAAGTATAATTTAAAACACAATAAAGTATAGATGAAATAAGAAGAAAAAAGTAAAAGACAAATAATGCAGAGCAGCTAACTAATAGTCATGAGCTTTATGTATACTAATTTAGAGTGTTTGATTTCATTTATGTTGTTTATTAATATTTTATTTAATTCTTTTTACAATTTATGATGCTATTAATAGTCAATATTATTTTAAATCCATCAATATTTAATAATTATGTAATATTAATAATTTTTTAATCCAATAACTTAAAATTTGGAATTAAAGACCTTATGAAATGTTAAATTTGATTTATTCTACAAATTCATTAATTGCTAATGGTTAATATGCTTGAACTCAAATATTAACAAAGTTAATCAGATCTTGATAGTAATGAAAGCAATAACATAGACTCCATTAGAATAGAAACATAAATCCATTAAAAGAATAAGGAAATAAACAAAAGTGAAATAAAAGAGAAACTTTAGTCAAAGTGATGAGATTGCAATAGAAAATTGGTGAGCCACAGTGGACTATTTACATCATGTCAAAATTCTATGTTATATCCTTGTGTACATATTTTTATAATATTTTGCAACGCCATATTTATCGTTATAATAAAATTCAAAAAAAAAAATATTATGCCGCTTAAAATGTGTTGAAAAAAAGTAATCTATTACAACACTTAATAAGATAGAAGTATTATAATACATTGAATATATATATATATATATAAGGAATACTAGCAACATACTTTTTATTCTTAGTTAAAATTTATTAAAAATTTAAAAATATAAAAAAAACATTAATTTAAGAATAAAAAAATTAAATTTATATTTTTTTTATTTTTAATAAATTTTAGTTAATAATGGGAGTGTAATTTTTAGCCTATAACACTTTTTTGAAGAATCATTGAACTAACGTGCTATTTTTATAGCATTTAATAAGAAAGTGCTATAATAACGTGAGATAATGCCCTCATGCTTCTTTAATTTTATTAGTAATGTTTCCGCCTAGTTCATCACAATATCAAAAAGCACCACAAGTCCTAAATAAAAATATGACATCTCAAATTATATGTTAACTAATATAACTTCAATTTAAGCAAGAAAAACAAAACAAATGAATAAAAAATACAAGATAAGAACAACATTAAATAAATCATAAAGCTCAACCAACTTCACATTCAACAAAAAGGGTGTCAATAAACACTTCTAATTTTAACCTATATAATAATAATAATAATAATAATAATAATAATAATAATTAAAAAAAAATGTTAGCAACTTGTTAGAAATTTTTCTCTTGAATTATATGGGATTTCAAATAAAATTCAAGAACCATTATATAAAATTATCAAATAGAAATAAGAAGTTTTAGGAATATCTGAATCTATTGACATTGACTGAAGGCAATAAAATAGCCTTTTAGTGCAGCGACCTTCGAGGTAGCAGCAGAATAGCCTTCTTATGCAATGATCTTTCTCAGCCAAAATTATTATATTCTTTAATAGGACTTGATATTTCTCTTGTAACGGAGAGAGAGATGTTCCTTATTTTGATATATTAGCGACTATGACCAACTTTATAATTTTAAACTTATTAGGATTCCTATCAACTCCTAATGAGCTAAATCCAGACTCCACTTATTGAGCTCATATTCCTTTATTCATATTAATTATTTTTAATCACTAGTCTAAAGGCTCACCAAAATTAGATTACTTTTATTATGCTTAACAAAATGTAAATAGCTAATATAAATGCTATAAATAATATGTATTGCTCATATTAATTATTAAAAATAAAATTTTTAACAAGCAACACATACTCTTTACACTCTCTGCTATTAATGTATGTAAAAAGACAAATAATGTAGAGCAGTTAACTAATAGTCATGAGGTTTATGTATACTAATTTAGGGTGTTTGATTTCATTTATGTTTTTATTAATATTTTATTTAATTCTTTTCAAAAAATTAATGATTCTATTAATTGTCAATAATTTATTCTAAATCTGTCAATATCTAATAAGTATGTAATATTAATAATTTAATAAATTTAGTAATTCAATAACTTAAAATTTAAAATTAAAGATCTTATGAAATCTTTAATTTAATTTATTCTACAAATTCACTAATTGCTAATGGTTCATATGCTTATCACATAACTAACTCAAGTAATAACAAAGTTAATCATATCAAGGTGTAATGAAACTAATAAAATAAACTCCATTAGAATAAAAACATAAATTCATTAAAAGAAAAAGAAACTAAACTGAGGGTTGCAACATAAGTTTCATTTATAACTTAGTTATAAATTTAGTTATTAAGAATAAAAATCAAATTTTAAGCAAAAACAAAATCTAATAGTTTGAAAATTTAAATGAAATAAACAAAAGTAAAATAAAAGAGGAACTTTTGTCAAAAGTGATGAGATTGCAAATAAAAAATTGTTGGGTTAAAGTGAACTATTTACATTATGTCAAAATTACTATGTTATAGTGTTTATGTACATATTTTTATAATATTTTACAACACTATATTTACTCTCATTATAATAAAATACAAAAAAAAAATATTATAGTGCTTAAAATGTGTTGTAAAGAGTTATCTATTACAACACTTAATAGATAGAAGTGTTATAATAATGTGTTTATTTACAATACTTAATTAAGAAAGCATTATAATACATTGAATATATGAGGAATACTAGTAACATATTTTTTATTATTAGCTAAATTTTTTTTAAAAAAATTAAAAAATACAAGAAAAAAAATTAATTTAGGAGTGGGAAAGAATAGGACTTACATAATTTTTTTTAAGTTTTAAAAAATTTTAGCTAATAGTGAAAGTGTAATTTTTAGCAAATATTATAACACTTGTTTGAAGAATCATTGTACTATCAAACATGCTATTTTTATAGCATTTAATCAAGGAAGCACTATAATACGTGAGACAATGGCACCATGCATCTTCAATTTCATTAATAATGTTTCCACCTAGTTCATCATAGTATCAAAAAGCACCACAAATTCTAAATAAGAGCATAGACATCTCACTTCAACTCAAGCAAGAAAAACAAAACAAATGAATAAAAAAGACAATACAAGACAACATTAAATAAATCATAAAGTTCAACCAACTCCACATTCAAGAAAAAGGGTGTCATAAAACAGTTCCAATTCTAACCTATATAATAATAATAATAATAAAAAATGTTAGCAATACATACTTTATCACACACTCTCTAATAAACTCTTTATTATTAGTTAAAATTTATTAAAAATTATAAAAATATGAGAAAGAAACATTAATTAAGAAATGAGAAAAAGTGAAATCTACATTATTTTTGTAGTTTTTAATAAATTTTATTCAATAATAGAGTATATTAAAGATTGTGTTACTAGCAATATTTCTCTAAATAAATAAGGTACTTCAGGCTAACCTTTGTAAATAATATAGCAACTAAAAGCAAGATGAGAAACTATTTATTTAAATAATTCAAAAATTAAACTATTTTCCTATCTATATTTTTTTTTTGCCAAATTACAACTAGTTTCGTACCTTACAAGTAAGAAACTTATTTTTTAACTTTTTAAAAAAAGTTTCGCACATGATAGACAAAACTAATTTTTTTTAAATAGTTTCGCATAGTAATAATATGAAACTAAAGAAGTAATTACACGTGTGAAAATTTTAGATA